AATAACAAAAGGTTCAAGTTATGACTGCCAAACTTCACACTTCATCCGTGTCATAATGCTCTCTATCCGTTAACATCATATCTGAAATATAACATTTACAGCAAGATATTCCATATAAATGTTGGAAATAATTCTAATACTGTCTGACACAAAAAGTGTATATCACTCATCTCCAGAACCAAGTTCTATAAAAGATGAGCTACACACCTGTTTCATGGACTGACACTGATAAAGTACCGGAAACAACTGTCAATACAATGGACTTTAATCACCTGTTGCTATGATGACTGACTGCAGCAGGACAAGAGAACCAATGAAACCCGCAGAACAGATAACATTAAATACAGTGTACATACATCATGTTTCCTACCTCCATGCATACATACATGTACATGTACCCAGTAACTCTTCCGCTGTAACAAATATCCACATCAGACCCTTGTGTATCATTCAAGCCAAGTCTGCTAGGCGCCATTTGTCCATTAACAGGTCATTTTCTTGGTGTAATTATACCTTTAATGAGCTTGGTGTTCCTAGAAACCAGAAAAACTGCCACCAAAAGTGACAACTTGAATAAGATGTATGCAATTTCTGACAAATTAATGAGAATGACATGAAAGCCTCCAGTAATTATCAGTGAACTGTTTCGAACACGAAACATATTTTCAGACTTAATTCCATTGACTTGTTCCTCCCAAGAGAACTTGAAATAAAATCCTTACTTGTACTACTGGTACATGTATATAATTTGAACTGCTTCATTACAAATAATCTCAATTTCTGGGTTATGTTTTCATACATGTACGTTACACATGACATTGCTATTAAAATGGAAATATTAATCTTGTGAATAAAGAAAGTTGAAAGCAAAATCGAATGCTGTTCTAAAGAAAGGACGTGAAACCAAACCCAGTAAAATACAAGGCCATGCAGACGCATCTCATTTCTCCGCATTCCGCCTCATCCCATAGTATCAGAATAAATGACATTCAACTTGAAGTCATTTCATCTATCAAACTTCTCAGAGTGACCATCCGAAATGACCTCAGGTGGGGCCTACATGTACGAGTCCAACAACTCATTACCAATGTTTCACGTTGATGCTATCGGTATATAACTTAAGAAAAATGGTGGATAAAATTGATGATCCCACCCAACTTTATAAAACTTACTGGTACATTTGTCCCAAACTTGAATATAGTGAAGCTGTGTGGTCTTCAGATATGATTTAAAGGTACATTGTAGGGTAACCAATTTCTATGTAATGCAATGTTTCAAAATGGGCTGATCTGGGGTTTGTTTTTTACTTCATGTATCATTTCACGGGTTTGTTTCATTTTTTGAGTTCATTGCTTTCAGAAAAATCAAGAAAAACATAAATCATTTTTAACACTTGAGGGTGCACTGAACCAATTCAAGCTCCACTGAAAATAGTGTAAAATCAACCAAGTTTGGAGCCCCGTGGTAGGCAACTGACGTCCCTGAGGCCTCTCAAACAAAAAAACAATGTGTTATTTGGTCCTTCAGATTTTATTTAATTTTCAATTTTTAGTAGGTTAGCCAATGAAATTTTTAATTATCCA